ATTTCCAACACTAAAACACAAAGCCATGTGCTCTACTGTGAGCCAGGATGAAAAGGACATGTGGACTTTCCTGAGTATTTTAATATCCTCTTATTGACAATAGATAGAAGAACTGAACAAGGACCGGACACAGGAAATGATTTTAGTGATTTCATTACAGGCACAGAGAAAAGCATTGCCAATGACAGGACTTGGCAGATGGTCCGGTGAGGTTTCTAGCTTCTAAATAGCCTATTGGTCAACAAGACCACTATTGACACAGCTCAGGATGCAATTAATGAGTGTCCCAGTGAGCAGAAGAGTTTTTATAAATATATGCAGTAGCCTTGGTAGTGAAACACAGGACGTTAGTGTTTAAACGTTAATTTAAAAACATAAAAACATTTAGATACAGCAATTGCACATGGCCAAGCAGGATTTGAACCCCAACATCCCATATATTCCCCTGAGCCCACCAGGAGTGATCCCTGATCACTACTGGGTGTGGCCAAAAAAAGAACAAAAAATAAAATAAAAGGTGGGACGCAGAACTTGTCTTCTCCATTGTCTTAAGTAATTGAAAGACTTCAAAAATCAAATATTCACAAGTACCAAGTTCTTCTTGTAGTCGCTCCCCTCCTCCTCGGTTTATTTTTTATTTTATTTTATTTTTTTTTGTAGGAGTACTGCTATTTATTCAGCCACTGATTAGCTGATTGAATTGTGCATGAACTCTACCTTACTTTTTTTCCCCCATTTTTTATAATTTTATTTATTGAATCACCGTGAGAGCAGTTACAAAGCTTTTGGGTCTAAGTCTCGGTCATACAATGAAACACCTGTACCTTCACCAGTGCCCATTCTCCACCACCAAAAATTCCAGTATACCCCAATACCACACCCTCCCCCTGCCTGTTGGGCAGATGATTTCCACATTACTCTCTCTCTACTTTGATCACATTCACTATTTCGACATCAGACCCACCACTGAGATTTTACCCCAACACTCAGATCTGCTGAAAAGGCAACAATAGACAATTTGTGTTCTATTGCTGGTTATGAATAACATATGATGTCGTGTGGCTGCAGTAGGGCCATGTGGTTTTGAAATTCCAAAATTTTAACACTTAAATCTGGAGGGATTTCTGCCAAAAGCCACTGGGTTTAGAGTTCTGCTCCTGAGTCTCTGGGATCATGGCCGTTGAGCAGCTTGATGAGGAGCCGGAGAGGCCGTTCGTGGGCGATGACTTGGGGTCTCATTGGGGTGGGGAGGACAGGCCCGGCTCCCCCCCGCCCCCACCATCCCGTGAGGCCCAACAAGTTTCGTCATTGCGGGCCCAAGCCTGACTGTCCAATGGCCTCTGGAGGATGACAGCCACCAAGTCGCCAAGAGGGAGCAGGCAGAGGGACAACACCCTTTCCTCCCTGGGGTGGCCCGGCGACAGTAACGTACTGTGGAGTCCAGATGCATTTCTGCCAAAAGCCACTGGGTTTCGAGATTTGTTTCTGAGTCTCTGGGATCATGGCCGTTAAGCAGCTTGATCAGGAGCCAGAGAGGCTATTCGTGGGCGATGACTTGGGGTCTCATTGGGGTGGGGAGGACAAGCCCGGCTCCACCCCCATCCCGTGAGGTCCTGTGTGTCTCGTCACTGGGGGCCCAAATGTGACTATCCAGTGGCCTCAGACGGATGGCGGCCACTGGGCCGCCAGGGGGAACAAGCCAAGGCACGAAACCTATTCCCACCTGGGTTGGCCCAGCACTGGTAGCCTACTGCAGAGACCAGACACATTTCTACCTAAAGCCACTGGGTTCTGAGATTCGTTTCTGAGTCTCTGGGATCATGCCCATTAAGCAGTTCAATCAGGAACCAAAGAGGCCTTGCCTCCAATTATACAGCTGAGCCGGAGGTGGTTTGTGGGTGTGTTTCCCACATACCTAACTTTTGGCCATTTACTTTCTTGGTAAACTTTGTCCCAAGTTTTTGGGGCTGGCCAAAGGCACAGCAGTAATTTTGGGGTATCTGGAAGTCTGAAGGCACCATGAGGCTGCTGATGCACTCGCCTCACAGGTACAGATTGACCTGCTGGCGGCACCATACCCCCCTCCTCCTCGGTTTAACATGTGAGAAAAAGATGCTAAGAGGCCAGCAGAGGATTCAGTGGCTTCAAGCACCTGCATAGCTGAATCCCCAAGTCACATGTGCTGAGGTGATCCAGACAGCCTCACTGTGCAAGGATTCCCCGTGAAGGGGAAGAAAGGAGAGCCACAATGTTATCTGTCCCTAGAATTTCAAATTTCACATTTACACTGCTGAAAAAAGAGTGTCATCAAAATACCACTGCAACTGAAGCAAACACTAACTTTCCTAGTGAACTCTTCAAGCTGTATAGAATTTTAAAGTTTTTTTTTCCTTTTTTTTTTTGCTTTGTTTTGTTTTTGGGGCACACCTGGCTGTGTTTAGTGCTTACTCCTCACTCTGCATTCAGGGATCACTCCTAGCAGTGCTCAAGGAGCAAACCCAGTTGGACATGTGCAAAGCAAACGCCGTACCCACCATACGGCCCTATTTTTTTTTTTTTTTTTGCTTTTTGGGTCACACCCAGCTATGCACAGGGGTTACTCCTGGCTCTGCGCTCAGGAATTACCCCTGGCGGTGCTCAGGGGACCATATGGGATGCTGGGAATCGAACCCGGGTCGGCCACATGCAAGGCAAACGCCCTACCCACTGTGCTATTGCTCCAGCCCCCATACGGCCCTATTTTAAGGCCCCGATTTTAAGCTTTAGGCCAGGCCAAATAGCACAGCAGGTAAGGCACTTGCCTTACATGTGGCCAACCCGAGTTCAATCCCCTGCACCACATATGGTCTCGAGTCCTGACAGGAGCAATCTCTCAGTGCTGCACCTGGAGTAAGCCCTGAGCACAGCTGGGTGTGGCCCCGAAACAAAACAAACCAAAAAAAGAAAAAACCTATTATAATTTACAGCCTGAGGAAGTTTTATAGAAATACTATGAAAATATGTACCATCTTATAATGCTACAAAATCAAGAAGTAACAAGTCAATAGATCCAAGGCAAACATGGGAAACAGAAAAGAACGTGATTATCTCTGATCTTCCTGAGCAACGGGTATGCATTCCATCAGACACCTAAGGTTAGATGTCCCTCCTTCCCCCCAGCTTCTAAAATGTGCTCTTGGACAGACACAGAATGACTGCACTCATTGTGGAATATAAAATATCATAATATGAGACTAACACCCAGGGACAGTAGAGACAAAGGCCAGAAAGACTGCTCCATGGTTGGAAGCCTACCTCATGAGCTTGGGGAGAAGGCAGCTGGGATAGAGAAGGGATCACTAAGTCAATGATGGTTGGAGGGATCGCTCGGGCCAGATGTGTGCTGAAAGTAGTAAAGGACCAAACATGACGGCCTCTAAGTACTGCAAACCATAATACCCATAAGTAGGAGAAAGTTAGAGAGAAATTGTCTGCCATAGAGGCAGGCGGGTTGGGGGGGGGGGGCATATTAGGGACACTGGTGGTGGAAAATGTGCACTGGTGGAGAGAAGGGTGTTTGATCATTGTATGACTCAAACTCAAACATTAATGTTTTGTAACTGTAGCTCATGGTGATTCAATTAAAAATGAATTGTTTAATTAATTAAAATGTGCTCTCAGGGGAACACAAAAGGTGAAATCCAAACTTCACAGAAGCAAACATCACAATGTAACTTAGAATACCACTTTCATAGAGCAATCTTCGTATCAGCCTTTAACTTCAAAAAATTACAAGAATGAAATTTTTAGCTTCGGCTAAAATTATGTAGGAATTATTTCAACAATGCCTTGGAATCCTCCTGTTAAATACAGTTATATTCAGCCTATGGATAAGGCTATCACTAAACAAATACAATGCACAAAGTGAGAGTTTAATCAGTAAGATTGTAATTTTATAGTTCCATTCTTTTTGACAAGAACACTTCATACAACAAACTACCTCCATAGAGGAAATTTCTGTTACTTACCAGAAACAGTAACCCAGTATTTTATCAGCAAAAGTCATCCAAGGAAAGAATACAAAGTATGGAAGACCAATGCTTTAAAAGAAAAATATTCTGCAATAAACTGGGAAAAATTCTGCCATAAAAAGGTTTATTTTTCTGTAAAAGAGATTTTAAAAGCTGCAGTTGCTGTTCATAATTGATATATACCTAAGATCTATTAAGAATTCCTAAACTCCATTAAAATATATAGATGTTCCTAAAATCTGTTAAAAACTTAAATCCATTAGTAAATGAAATAATGCAAACTGGGTACTTCCAAAAGTGTACCTAGTTAAGAACATATTTCTTAAAAATAATTAAAAAGAAAGAATATTTATTTTGGAAGCACTATACAAATAACAGAAATTAAAAAATCATGTACAGCAGTTTATGAACAATAAGAGGTGAAAAAAACTTAAAATTTATTCTGAAACAGAAAATCTTATTTGATTCGCTTTTGTCAAAATGCTAACATAATAGCCTTATAAACAATGCATTGAAAAATGAACTGAACTGTAATAAATCTATACTATTAATAACAGTTTTGAGGTTACTAACAATTTGGTGTAGAGGGGGCAGAGAGATGGTACAGCAGGAAGGGTGCTTGCCCTGCATACAGCTGGTGGGGGTTCAAATATATTCAGGAATTACTCTTGGTCGGCATCCCATTTGGTCCCCCAAGCACTGTAGCACTGTAGCACTGTCCTCCCTTTGTTCATCAATTTGCTCGAGTGGGCCCAGTAATGTCTCCATCGTGAGACCTGTTGTTACTGTGTTTGGAATATCGAATACACCACAGGGAGCTTGCCAAGCTTTGCCGTGCAAGCGAGATACTCTCAGTAGCTTGCCAGGCTCTCCGAGAGGTGTGGAGGAATCGAACCTGGGTCAGCCAGGTCAGCCATTCCCTCCCGCACCCACCCCTCCAAGCACTACCAGGAGTAATTCCTCAGTGCAGAGCCAGGACTAAGCCTTACACATTGCCAAGTATGACCCCAAAACAACAAAAACCAATTTGGTGTAGAACCAACAAAAAAAAACAGAAAAAAAAGATCTTAATGGTAGAGGTAAAAGAAGTCAGGGTCCCTGAGCCACCTTAGCAGATCTGGATCAAATACTTCTAGACTTCTTATTGCATAAGATACATAAAAGCTGTTGTGTTAGGGGACCAGAGCAATGGGTACAGTGGGTAGGGTGCGTGCCTTGCATGTGGCCAACCCAGGTTCGATTCCCAGCACCCTGAGCCGGATGGCCCCCAAGCCCACCAACAGTAATTCCTGAATGCAGAGCCAGGAGTAACCCCTGAGTGCCGCAAAGTGTGGCCCACAAATCCAACAAAACAAAACAAAAAAACCCTACTGCATTAAGAGTTTTCTGTTCATTCCAATGAATGTGCTTGCAGTAGATACAAATACAAAATTCTCACATCAAAATCAAATTAAGAATTATAAAGAAAAAAATCCTCATAATCTAACCACTTAAATATTCTAAAAACTTGTTTTTTTTGTTTTTTGTTTTTAGCCTGCAGATGTCAAAAACCACATGATGATGATGAAAACTAAAGGGGGATATTTGAGTGTGGTGAACACTCCAGAGGTTAATGCTAAACGAAAGTCAGATAAGGCTGGAGGAGGGTCAAGGACATGAGCTACCAAGACACTCGTGGTCTGATATACGTCTTTTCCGGTATTTCCTCTGGGTCCATTTCAACAGCGAGGAACATAAAGCTTATTTCTTGGGAAGAAGCAGCTCCACGTCGGTCTATAACCCTCAGCTTTGAACCTTCAAACTTGGAAAGCTTTCCTCCAGGTGACCGGCCAAGGTCTTATCCACTTCACGGAGGGTTCTGAGAAAGTCTTCCACCTGTCAGTCAAAGAGAAAACACAAACACATGTGAAGCAAGTGGTGAATTCTTTATCAGGGACTGCCAATGAGCCACTGTGAAAGAAACGGTGCAAGCCCAAAAGGAGAGAGAGAACAAAAGGGAATGCCCTGCCACAGAGGTAGGGTGGGATGGGGGGCATGGGGTGTAGTAGGGATACTGTGATCAGTGGTGGTGGAGGATGGGCACTGGTGGAGGGATGGGTATTTGATCATTGTATAACTGAAACCCAAGCACACAAAAATTTGTAAGTCTACAACAGTACCTCATGGTGTTTCACTAATAAAAAAAAAAAAAGAAAAGAAAGAAAGAAACGGTGCAAGATCCACAGGTAACAAGTGCACTTTCTGCACATCCCCACCAGCCCAGGAAGCAACCAGCCACCCCATTCTTTTCACTCTTGCACTCGCATTTCTCCCCACAGTGCTTCCCATTAAGCCTAGAACTGAGCTATTACTGTCCCCATGGGACACGTCCCCGAACTCCTGCATACCTTATTTCATTTTCCTAAAAAAAGCTCCTACTTTCAAAGTAGCAAGTGTGATAGAATTGCAGGAATCCTAAAAACCTATTTACTCGGTCCAAGAAATACTGTAAGAGATAAGGCATGTGGATGGTACTGGTCTGAATCCCCGGCAGCATATGTGGCCCCCAGAGCACCATCAAGGATCACTTCTAAGCACAGAGCCAGGAATAGTTCCTGAACACTGCCAGGAGAAATACAAAAATGGAAGGAAGGAAGGAAGGAAGGAAGGGAGGGAGGGAGGGAGGGAGGGAGGGAGGGAGGGAGGGAGGGAAGGAGGGAGGGAGGGAGGGAGGGAGGGAGGGAGGGGAAAAATACCCACACAGGGGCCAGAGCAATAGAAAAGAGGGTAGGGCACTTGCTTTGCATGTGGCTGACCCAAGTTCAATCCCAGGCATCCCAAAATGTCCCCTGAGCACTGACAAGAGTAACTCCTAAGTGCAAAGTAAGGAGTAAGCCCTGACCATCACTGAGTGTGGTTGAAAAACAAACAGACAAAAACAAAACAAAACAAAACACCTATTTACTAACCCTGTAGAGTCTTACTTTTATTTTAAATGCAGACAGTTTCATGAGAATGAGGACTGAGAAATTCAATGTTGATTCATCCCTGAACATTTAAGTTGTGGGGCCGGAGAGAGCTTAAAGGGCCGAGCATGTGCGTCTCATCCCCAGCACCTGGTCTTACAAGTTCCATCAGGAGTTAACTCCTGAGCATCAAGTTCGAATTAGCTTCTGAGTACTGCTTGGAATGGCCCCCAAACAAACAAATATTGTAACTTAAGAGTGTCTGGTGAGTGATCGATGCCTCAGTCACCTTGTCAGCATAGGCATCGTGTCCTGGGAGTTACACCCACTGTCATTTCCCACTGTGGCCTCGGAGATCAGCATGTTATTTAAAACACTATTATTTGGTCATCCCCTAAAACTCAATCATCGATGCATTTACCGCCCCACTCACCACTGGGCTATAGAGCGGAAGGAGGTGTCGAAATGCACAGGAACACTTCTCTTTGCTGAACTGGCCTTCTTTCAGTCCCTGGGCCACCATCTCCTAAAGCAGGACAAAACGAAAATGATCTAGTGCCGAATAAGGAAACTTTCTCAAGCGCCACCTGCATAGAAATACAAACCATATAAATTATCCCCAACTGATCCTGCAGGTATTTCCACTGTCTGATATGGAACCTACGAGCAATTCTCCCTGTTCAGTGGCTCAAACAGCTGAGTCGTTTCCCCTCCTCTGCCACTGTCTCTACCCCCTTAGGGACCATATCAGCAATTCATCAAAAGGGTCACAGATTCAGAAGAGCTAGTACAAGGGATACAGGACTTCTCGTGGCCCAACACCTTGTGGTCTCCCATCATCACTGGGTCGGCACTAGCACCACCAAGTGGCCCAGGAAATCCTCCACCCTCGGGTCCAACCAGCATCGGATCCTCAAGAACAGGTCCAGAGGGCTGACCACCGCTCAGGAGACACCCCTCCCCCAAGAAAGTTTATCAATGCAGAAAGAACCATGTAGAAATATAACAAAGAAAGAACCTGCTGATTTTAGCTGATACAACTATGACATTCAGTATATAACTAATGTTTGTTTTGTTTTGTTTCGTGAAGAAGATGGTTTTTGTTGAACAAAATTAACTTAGAAAAATATGAGGGACCCAGATTCGATCTCCAGCACATTTGGTCCCCCAAGTCCTGCCAAGAGTGATCCCTGAGCACTAAGCCAAGAGTAACCTCTGAACACAGCCAGGTGGAGCACCTGAGAAAGAGAGAGAGAAAGAGAGAAAGAGAAAAAGAAAGAAGAAAGAAAAACAGAAAGAAAGAAAGAAAGAAAGAAAGAAAAAGGAAGGAAGGAAGAAAGGAAGGAAGGAAGGAAGAAAAAGAAAGACAGGAACAAAAAAATATATATTTTTATATACAAGTGGGAAGGGAGAGAAAGCATAGCAGATAGAACGCTTACCTTGCACATGAGCCACCCAGACTCAATCCCTAGCATCCCATATGGTCCTACAAGCACTTCAAGGAGTTATTCCCAAGTGCGAAAGGAGTGCCAGGAGCAAGCCCTGAGCATCACCAGATGTGGCCCCCAAACTAAAACAAGACAAAAAAGACTTGAGGGGAGAGAGAGGAAATATATGTGCAAGAAAACACACAAGCTTCTCCAGAGTGGGAAAAAGCAAGTAAAGACATACAAACAAGAAAGATGTTTTGTTTTGTTTGGGGGCCACAGCTGGTGATGCACAGGGCTTACTCCTAGTTCTACCACCCAGTGATCACTCCTTGGGGGGCCCAGGGGGTCACAGGGGTGCCAGGGATTAAACCCAGGTGGGCCACATGCAAGGCAAATGTCCCGCCCGCTCCAGCCCCTAAAGCGAGAAACATGTTCACAGGAGAGCACAGGCTGGAAGGGCAAGCTTATAATAATACAGCTTTAAACTGTGGTCATGTCAAAGCCAATGAACTTTCTCCAAGACATGATTATTGCTAATGGAAAAGCTGTAATATTTAGTAATAAAGATCAGGGAAAACCAGCCCTTTCATGTGTCAAAGCTTGTTGGCAATATGGCATTATGCTGCAGCCACCTTCTCATCCATAAGGCTGAACCTAGTGATCCCACTTCTGAAAAGTTACACTCAAAATCTAATGGAGTACTATGCAGCTGTTAGAAAGATGAAGTCATGAAATTTACATACAAGTGGTACTACATGGAAAGTATCATGTTAAGCGAAATGAGTCAGAAAGAGAGGGACAGGCATAGAAAGACTGCATTCATCTGGGGAACATAAAGTAACAAAATAGGAGACTAACACACAAGAATAGCTGAGATAAATACCAGGAGGTTTATTCCATGGCTTGGAAGCCAGCCACACACTCTAGGGGAAAAGGCAGCTCAGATAGAGAAGGGAGCACCAAATAAAGGGTGTTGGGAGGATCCTCCCAGGATGGGAGATGCATTCTGAAAGTAGATTATAGACCAAACATGATTGCCACTCAATGCCTCTTTTGCAAACCACAGCACTCAAAAGGAGAGACAGAACAAAAGGGAGTGCCCTGCCACAGAGGCAGGGTGGGATGGGGGGATGGGGAGTGGGAGGGATACTGGGATCCGTGGTGGTGGAGAATGGGCACTGATGGAGGGATGGATACTCGATCACTGTATAATTGAAACCCAAGCACAAAAATTTGTAAGTCTACAACAGTACCTCATGGTGTTTCACTAATAAAAATTTAAATAAATAAAATTTTTTTAAAAAAAGAAAATTTAATAGTATTATAACTATGACATCTCAATAAAATTAATTTAGAAATCAAAAAAAGGGGCTGGAGCAATAGTACAGCAGGTAGGGCATTTGCCTTGCACGCGGCAGACCTGGGTTCGATTCCCAGCATCCCATGTGGTCCCCTGAGCATCGCCAGGGATAATTCCTGAGTGCAGAGCCAGGAGTAACCCCTGTGCATTGCCGGGTGTGACCCAAAAAGCAAAAAAAAAAAAAAAAAAAATCAACAACAACAACAAAAAAATCTAGAAAAGGAAAGCTGGAGCATACACACCTGTACTCACGCCCACATTGCCTCAAAACTTTCTATTTTATAAGGGCTATTTCAAAAGTATTGATGAACACGAACATTTTTTTTTCTTTTTGGGTCACACCCAGTGATGCTCAGGGTTACTCCTGTCTCTGCACTCAGGAATTACTCTGGCAGTGCTTGGGGGACCATATGGGATGCTGGGAATTGAACCCGGGTTGTCCGCATGCAAGGCAAAAGCCCTACCTGCTGTGCTACCACTCCAGCCCCATGAATATATTCTTCAGATGCATAAATGCTTTTCCCTCAAGCATAAGGGCAGAAAGAGCAAGACTCCCAGAAAGGATACACTGGGGGCCAGGGAGGCGGCACCACGAGCTATAGCATGTGCTAACTTTTCATGCGGAGGCCCCATCATATTCCCAGCAAAGAAGAGTCACCCAGCAACGCCAGGTGCCAACTCAGAGCACCAGGCCAGAAGTAGCCCCAAAGCACCGCTGGGTGTGGCCACCACCTCTCCCCGCCAAAACAGGAGCATTCAAGTAACAGTGAACAGATTCTAGAGGAATACCCCCTAAAACAAACAGAATAAATTTCTAGAGTTGTGTTATTTTGCAAGGGATATTAAGCAGGTTCTAAGGGAAAAATCTTTCAGCAAAATGATCTGGAATGAAAAATATGCTTATAGTAAAAAGTGAAGCAAAAGGCCGGAGCAGTAGTACAGCGGGGAGGGCATTTGTCTTGTACACGGCACGCCCGGGTTCAATCACTGGCATCCCATATGGTCCCCCGAGCCCACCATGAGTAATTCCTGAACACTGAGCCAGGAGTAACCCCTGAGCAGTGCTAGGTGTGGCTCAAAAACTCAAATGCAAAGCACTGAACACGAAAGCCATATATACTGAGTTGTGAGTATTTGAAAAACATAAAACAACAAAACTCTTGTTTAAGAGTATTAAACTGGAGGTGGTCAAGTCTTTCCTGACTCTATTTACCCAAATTTATAATATAGCTCTACTATTTTATATCTTAATAAACTACTGATACTAGCTGGAACATTATGCAGTCTATACTGTTGTTTTTGCTAAATAAACAATTAACATTTCTCTCTTACCTTTGTTAATACCTGTAAAATATTAGACAGAAATTCACACGAGATATCCTTTAAGATTTTTAGGTGGAAATCATCTTGGACTGAATCAGAATTTTTGGCTTCTTCTGTCTCAGACTCTGTTGAGTTCTCTGGCTTCTTTTGACAATGTTCCATATTTTGTAAAACACGAATCAAGCTGTCAATTAGCGGAAGATCTTCTGTACACACAGAAGGCAAGGAATCAGTTGATTTTGGTTTCTCATTGTTCTCTCTGGAGCAATAGCGCAGCGGTAGGGCGTTTGCCTTGCACGCAGCCAACATGGGCGACCCGAGTTCGATTCCTCCGCCCCTCTCAGAGAGCCCGACAAGCTACTGAGAGTATCTCACCCGCACGGCAGAGCCCGCCAAGCTCCCCGTGATGTATTCGATATGCCAGACACAGTAACAACAAAAGTCTCCAATGGAGATGTTACTGGGCCCGCTCGAGCAAATCGATGATCAACGGGAGGGCCTTTACTTTACTTTACTTATTGTTCTCTCTAGGACCTTGACAGTTTAGTAGTTTAGGCAGACACTGTATCTTAAGTACTATCAAAAGAGTAAGGAGATGGGGATATGGCCTAAAAAACTAGAGCACGTGGAGCTGGAGTCACAATACAGCAGGTAGGGCATTTGCCCTGCACGCAGCCGAGCCAGGTTCAATTCCCAGCATCCCATATGGTCCCATGAGCACTGCCAGGATTAATTCCTGAGTGCAGAACCAGGAGTAACCCCTGTGCATCTTCAGGTGTGACCCTCCTCCCCCCCCAAAAAATAAAAACCTAGAGTGCATTTTTGCACATGGGGCTCCAGGTTTAATCCCTGGTACATCATGTGTCCTCAGCACTGTGACAGGAGTAGCCCAAGCACTACTGAATGTGGCCCCCCCCAAAATCTTATCTTAAGAAAGGGTGACAAACAAAATTATCAATCCCAGGCGCAGCATAGTACCCTGAGCACCACTGAGAGCAGTAGTCCCTGGCCAGGAATGGCCCAGAAAAGGAAAGAAAATAGAAAAAAAACCTTTTTATTTATTTATTTTTACTTTTTTGGGTCACAACTGACGATGCTCAGGAGTTTCTCCTGGCTTTGCACTCAGGAGTTACTCCTGGCAGTGTTCGGGGGACTATATGGGATGCCGGGGATCAAATCCAGGTTGGCCATGTGCAAGGCAAACACCCTCCCCACTGTACTTTCACTCCAGCTCAGAAAAAAACTTTTCAAAGAAAAAGATAGAGAGGGCCAGAGATAAATATCAAGAGAGTTAAGGCACTTGCCTGCCACACACATGGCCAACCCTGCTTCCACCACAAAAAAAAAAAGTGTGTGTGTGTGTGTGTGTGTGTGTGTGTGTGTGTGTGTGTAAAATAAACAAAAGAGGGGCAAAAGAAATAGTATAGCAAGCAGGATGCTTGTCTTGCACGTGGCTGACAGGAACTACCCTCAGCACCACACATGGTCGTCTGGACCCACCAAAAGTGATCCCTGAGCACAAACCCAGGACAAGTCCTAAGCACAGTCAGATATGATGCCTCCAAAACAAAACAAGTCGATACAGCCAAAGAGAAGGGCCACATGGAGGGCGGGGATCCACAGCTCCCGAAGAAAAAAAAAAAAAGGTTCCAAAAAGAGCCGAGAGCATCGGGAAGTCCCAGATGGGGTAGGTACCGCATCCTGCCTCCCCCAGATGGAACCCCGGTGACCAGAAGCCTCTACAAGCACAGCTCGAGTATGCGGGAACTAGGACTTTTCCTCAAATCTGCCGGAACTACAACTCCCAGGTAACCTCTGATTCCGGAAGTCATGCCCACAGCCTGCCCCCCAGCGCCATCTTTACAGCATACAGCCAAAGAGAAGGGCCACATGGAGGGCGGGGATCCACAGCTCCCAAAGAAAAAAAAAAAAAGGTTCCAAAAAGAGCCGAGATCATGGGGAAGTCCCAGATGGGGTAGGTACGGTATTCCGCCTCCCCCAGATGGAACCCCGGTGACCAGAAGCGTCTACAAGCACAGCTCGAGTATGCGGGAACTAGGACTTTTCCTCAAAACCGCATAAGCGGCCGCGCGACATCTCTCTATATACAAAGTGATCAATGGGAAGTAAACCACCCAACATTTCTCCCTGAAAATCAGAGTTAAGTTTGGAGCACAGCCACAGCCCCAGAAACACAAGGACTTAATGCAGAACCCAGCAGCTTGGAACAGAAAAGTGAACGGACTATGCGTTAATCCAGGCCATCATGTCTGCCCGGAGGGGAAAGGGTGTTGCCCCATTCGCCCTCTCTTCTCTGGAAAGAAGGATGGCGGCCGCATGGGAGCCTTGTGGACAGCAGGTATGAGCCGGGGGTGTGGGGGCGACTAAAACCTCATGGGAAGGGGGGCGTTCCGGTCCGTCCTTCACGCCCTACCGAGGTCACCAGTTGCCCCCCCGCGAGCGGCTCTCCAGCACAGCCACGGCCCCAGAAGCACAAGGACTTAATGCAGAACCCGGCAGCTTGGAGCAGAAAAGTGAATGGACTATGCATTAATCCAGGCCATCATGTCTGCCCAGAGGGGAAAGGGTGTTGCCCCAATCGCCCTCTCTTCTCTGGAAAGAAGGATGGCGGCTACATGGGAGCCTTGTGGACAGCAGGTATGAGCCAGGGGTGTGGGGGCAACTAAAACCTCATGGGAAGTTGGGCGTTCCGGTCCGTCCTTCACGCCCTACCGATGTTACCAGTTGCCCCCCCACGAGTGGCTCTCCAGCACGGCCACGGCCCCAGAAGCACAAGGACTTAATGCAGAACCCAGCAGCTTGGAGCAGAAAAGTGAATGGACTATGCGTTAATCCAGGCCATCATGTCTGCCCAGAGGGGAAAGGGTGTTGCCCCATTCGCCCTCTCTTCTCTGGAAAGAAAGATGGCGGCTGCATGGGAGCCCTGTGGACAGCAGGTATGAGCTGGGGGTGTGGGGGCGACTAAAACCTCATGGGAAGGGGGGCGTTCCGGTCCGTCCTTCACGCCCTACCGAGGCCACCAGTTGCCCCCCACTAGCAGCTCTCCAGCACGGCCACGACTCCAAAGCACAGAAACCAATTTCTGAACTATCTGACTTTCAGTAGAAATACTTCCAGGGTCAATAGGTAAAATAGCAGAAATCCAAAACCAACATTTAATTCTTGAACCCAGCTGTAGAAAGCAAATCACTTCACAATGCTTTTTCAGCATGTCTGATTTGGGGCGGGGCGGGGGGGGGGGTAAACTCTAAATAATAGTGGTGAATCTTTTATTGAAACAATGAATCTAATCAAAGCAGATAGAGTGTTAACTAGAATTCATCTGCCCCACAGGGACTGGGAGGGGTGGGGGTGGGGTTTTATTGGGGTTCTTCATGGTAAAAAATAGTATTGGTAAAGGGAAATGTGTTTGATATTTGCATGACTGAGACCTAAATCTGAAAGCTTCGTAACCTTTCCCACAGTGGTTCAATAAATAAATAAATAAATAAATAAAACAAGTCAAAGAAGAAAAAAAAAAAACAAAGGCTAGGTTTTACAGTCTGACAGGACAGACTTGAATTCATTAAGCTGCAACGGTGCCCACCTTTTTCTCTCTTGAGACTCTCCTGCTCTGCCTGGGAGGCGTAGATGGCTGACAGCACTGAGAAAATTGAGGCCAACACGGTTTTCTGCTCCTGGAGGACGATGGGAGGATCATCAGACTGGCAGAATTCATGGCAGACCAGGTCAAAAAGTAAACTCCAAGTGTCTTTCCCGGTGTCGGGGCACTGTACTTAAAAAAGATAATTCTGAAAGTAGTAACTTTAAAAAGGAAAAGCACGTCAAAGAGTAAATATCAAGCTTCCCACATAACATCTTACCAATTGCTTGGACTCCTTCGTCCACTGTGGTAAGCAGCTGTAAGATGCGCATGTAAACATCGAGTCCTTCAGGATGCTCCGAACTAAACGCAAAAAACAATGAACCAACAACAACAACTGAACTTACTGTCCAGGGGAGTGTGGTCAATCCCTCACTTGGCCAAAACTCTATCACTGTCCCTACTCACTGCTCTACATGTTGAGGAGCAAGCAAGAATCCAGTGTCTGTGCTCACTGGAGCTTATACTCTACTGGGGGAGTTCATCAAAAGCCAACCAACTATTATAACATATAGTCAACAATCTCAAGGTAGAAGTAAAAAAATTCTTTTTCATCCTGCTCAGTAAAGCAACCCGGAAGCTCATTCAGGCGCAGTTGCCTGATCAGAACAAAACGATGGCTGAAACTTCTAGAGTGAACACAGGCATTAAGCACAGAAAATCAAGTTGTTTCTGAGGCTTACAGGATCCTCCCAACGCCCTAGATGAGAGCACTAAAACTATCAGTTCTGTGATCAACAGTCTTCATGGAAACTCAATACCAGCTTTTCATAGACACTCACAATCTAAGTTCTTCGACCAACCAGTTAAGTGAAAAGAGAGTGAACAATTTAAAAGTGGTTTGGCAAATGAACACTATGCACAGAACTGGGTGCTGAAAGGAGGTAAAGTGATATAGATGCATGATACTCTTTTAGTAACAGTTTTGCAAACCACAGTGCCTAAAAGGAAAAAAGGAAAAGGAGAGAGGGCAGGGCATTGTGGTGTGGAGAGAAGAAAAGCATCTGTCAGAGAGGCAGGCAGGAGGTGGGGGTTGGCGGGTGATGGGAAGGAAACTGGGGACAACAGTATGGGGAAATGTACACCGGTGGAGGGATGGGTGTTGGAATACTGTATGACTGAAACCCAATCCTGAACAGCATTGTAAAAGTCTATCTCACTGTGAATCAACAAAAAAGTTAAAAAAAAAAAGACATTCCCTACATCCATAAAGCTTATCATCTAAAAGCAAAAAAGATAATTGAAAAGGTAATTACAATATAGTAACATGACTGAGCTGGGTATGTGGTTCAGTGGTAGAGTATATGTATATGTACATAAAAAGCTCTGAGAGCACACACACACACACACACACACACACACACACACACACACACAATGAATGCAACACTATCCAAGTCCACGGTGCCAGAGATGACATAAAAGCATGTTCCATTTAATGTGGAGAGTCAGAGAAGATCTCTTAAAAGAAATAACATTGGGGCCAGAGCAATAATGCAGTGGATAGAGTGCTTGCCTTGTACACAGCTGACCTGAGTTCGATCCCCAGCATCCCAGCATCCCATATGGTTCCCTGAGCCCCTAAGGGCAGACCCAGAAGTTAAGCACCGAGCACGAGCACTACAAGGGTGTGCAACCCCCCCCCCCCCCCCGCCAAATACATACACCCTGCCCCAAAAACAGACTAAATAAGTTTGAGGAAAAGAGGAAGAGTTTAACCCTGACACAGACAAAGATCATCAAATCAATGAGTTTCAATGTGGAATTTTAAATATTAAGAATGCAAAACAGACCATCAAGCAGACTAATTCATAAACCAATTTCCCAGTGACTACTGACAGTTTTGTTAACCTAGTAATTCCCAGGAGACATTATAACCCAGCAGTCACTTCCCCCAGATGCACATACATACAAAGAGCAGAGAAACAAAATGATGTCTAACATCAGCTGAGTCAAATGTCCAAGAGAAAATAATGCACAAGAAATTTTTTATCTGATCTCATCAAAAATGAATGCCAAAGATTTTAAGTCAGTAACCATAATTACTGCTAATAATCTATAGCTAAGAAATATTAGAAAAAGTTCTTTCAATCATTACAAAGCTTGCAAAGAACAAATACAATGTCACTATGAAATACTGGAGTGAATCAAACCAAACGAAGATGGGCTGTAGGCCATTCACCCATCAAAAGAAAACTATTTGATGGTTGTTTGTTTGGGGGTTACACCCGGCGGTGCTCAGAGGTTACTCCTGACTCTGCACTCAGGGATCTCTCCTGGTAGTACCTGAAGACCATACAGGATGCCGGGGATGAAACCCCGGTCGGTCACATGCAAGGCAAGTGCCTTACTGACTAGATTATCATTCCGGCCCCAAGAAAACTATTCTATCCCTTTAAAGACTTGTGGCGACTGGACTTCCCTAGCATATCTCTCATCCACCTACCGTACTTGCTTGGCAGCTTCAAGCACACAGGGCACAATTTTAAATACTGGCTGCTCTTCGGAATCTTCCCGGGGTGGGTCCGGAGGCTGCACAGCCCCCTTTCTAATCCATTCCAACATCAGCTTCTCATCCAAATCAAAGAGCTTGTCCACAACTTCCCCCACTTTCCCCAGCAAGTCAACTGCAGAGAATAAAAATCAGATGTTGAGAGGAGAAAGGCAAGTTTTGGAGCAGTTAATCCAAATTCCTAAAGCGATTACAAGAAAGTCAGTTCTTGCCAAGCATTTATCCTGAAAGCCATATGTCTACCTCCTCTGTTTTAAATGTGCTTTTCCCTTCCCTTTTAAAAATGGAAGATATACCAGTAGTCTGATAGTTTAGAAAGAAATTCTGTAACTGCACTGGGGCGAGCAAGATAGTACAGCAGGTCGGGCACTTGCCTTGCACGCCACCAACCTGGGTTTGATCCCCTGTACCCCATACAGTCCTGAGCACGGCCAGGAATAAGCCCTGAGTGCTGCCAGGTGTGTTCTAAAAACAAAACAAACCAAACCAAAAGAAAGCACTTTACCTTACACTTAGCCTTGCTTATTTTGTCTTGGGGCCATACCCTGCAGTGGGTCAAGGACCAAAGTCAGGGTTCCCGCAAAACAAATGCTCCCGCCCACTGGGTCCTGCATTTCTTTGTTGTTTTTAGCTTTGGGGCACATTCAGCTGTGCTCGGGGCTTACTCCTAGCTCTGCACTCAGGGATCACTTTTGGCATATCTGACCATATGGGGTACAGAAGATTGGACCCAGGTCAGCCACATACCAGGCAAGAGTCTTACTTTCTCTCTTTTCCCCAGCTTTCATTTAAAGTGATCCCCAACTGTTGGAACATTGTATGACTGAAACCCAATCATGAACAGCTTTGTAACTGTTTATCTCATTGTGATTCAATAAAAATAATACTGATAATAATAAAATAAAAAATAAAGTGATCCCAAAAACTTATCTGGTTCCCCAAAAATTAGATAAAAATTGTGTTTTGAGATTACATGGTGACTTACCATTTGTTGAACTTGACAAGATGAAGCAAATACTATCAAAAATAGCTGGATGTTCCCGGATTCTTTCAACCCAGATGTTGGCCACTTCCGTCTGGGAAAGGCAAGTAAGCAACAACCTGCATGGTAAACATGAGCTTAACAGCTGCATTTAAAAACAGCAATGGGAATTCAAGAATAAAGAATTAATGCTCCCCTCCTAGTGTCCCTCATGAATGAGCAAATGAAATAAAAAGCAGGCAAGCATACCTGCTCGTTTCCAGCAGGGTCGGGGGGTCCGAGTCATACAAACAGTGCAGTAATACCTGGCTACAAACACAAAAGTCAACACGGCACGTCTCTCATTTCAAAATATCAAAGGAGCATTTGTTTCACTTCTTTAACATTTTAAGAAGTGAAATTTGGTATATATGCACGGCAAGCCTGTAATGCACAAATCTACTGTTATTAAGCGAAAAAAAAAAAAAGTCTCCAAGAAACAGGACAGCCCTACAGCTCCATGGTCCCATGGGTACCGTCCAAATCACAATTCTCCATCCCACCTAGAAAGAGCAACTACCTACTCTAAACTTCTCCAGCAATCTTTTTTTTAGCTTGCCTTTATAATTTTATATATTTCTTTTTTATGCCCTGGAGTGCACGCAGCAGTGCTGGGAATCCAGCCAAGGGCTCCGGCACACAGAGCTGGCTCCCTGGTGCGACATTTTTGTTTTAAACCTCATTCACATTGAATATATTCTACTGAGTCTTGATTTTGCTCAACCTATTAAGATCGATCCATGTTGTTCCTTTAGCTATTCTTTGATTCACTACTGCAAAATGCACTCCCATCACCTATCTGAATACGACACAATAAACTTCTCCAGCAGGTCACTGAAGCCCACTGGGATTGATTCCATGATTTTAAGCAATGGCCTAAGGAATTTTTCTATGAATGTCCCAATGTCGCCTGCTTTTTCTCTTACCATACACTTGCAAAGGGTTTTTCTGGGACACGGCAGAGGTCTGTTTTCCAACTTGACCAAACATCCTATTGTTCCAAGGGGTTAAACAAATTTATATCCCATCAGCAATGTAAACTGTTCTGTATTATTTTAAAATAAAGATTTAATTGAATTTGCAAAGTACGCTAACATTACTCATTCTAAGATTTTTGACAGGGAACACTAAAGACCAAAATAATCCTGGTTATTTACTCCAGGAATGACTGCAAAATTAATAAGAAATAAAGCCCTTAAAGTAGGACCATCATACCTAGAAGAGTCAATCACCCCTATATAGGAAACCCAGGGTCTTGAATCTTGTGATGATAACCACCTAAGAGACTTTCCTTTTTCCTTTTTGAGGTGTGATAAAATTGGGGGAATTGAGCCACACCCAGAAGTGCTCAGGGTTTACCCTTAGCTCTGTGCTCAGGGATCACTCCTGGCAGAGCCTGGAGAATATATGGGGTGCTGAGAATTGAACCAGGGTCAGCTGCATGCATGTCAAGGGCCTAAGTCCCTATTCTATTTAGCCTTAGAACAGCTTTTTTCTTTTTTTCTAAGACGTTTACATAACCTGTTGTGAACACACATTTCTTCAAACAGTCATACACCCCAGAAAATGCATGCACTCACGTTTCAGCATACACTTCCAAGGCCCAAGTAATAGTCACCAGGCTTTTCATCATTAAAAAGCCCAATAGGGGCCAGGGAGATAGTATAAGCAGGTACAGGACTTGCCTAGCACACAGTAGACCCGGGCTCAATCCCCAGCACCACAAATGGTTCTCCCAAGCCTTGTCAGGATTGATCTCTGAACACAGACTAAGTTCTGAGCATAGCAAGTGTGGCCCCCAAAACAAAAAACAAACAAACAAATTCCTCTACCAAAGTTTTCATTAGTCTCTAAAGAGAAGTATAAAAACCTTTAAGTCTCAGAGGTAACTAGGAAAATTCTCTGTTGGCAAGTCCAAGGCCTTTGGGTCTGAAAGTCAGAAGTCACAGGATGAACCTGATCAACAAGTCTACTTTTCCATATTCTGCTTCTCTGACACCTAAGAATCCCTGAGCCCAAAAGGTTTTGGACTCTGGCAGTACCCCCAAATCCAAGCCTTGCCCCACAAATTCTTATTCCTATCTGGTTTACCACCTGCTGAAAATTCAGGTCACTTGGCCAACAAAGAAGAAAATTGGCTTAAAGCAGAGTCATGTCCATAATCTGTGTCCATAACAGAAAATTATTTTGGATATAATTACTTCTGCAATGCTGGGGACCAAACTCATACAAAGTAAGCACTGTGCCACTGAAACATATCCCCCACCCCATAGTATATATTTTATCCTGCCGTAGAGTTCATCAGGATTTCCTTAGAGATATGAAGTGTGGATTCATTTTTTAAAAAAATACAACGATTATGCAGCAAAACTTACCCAAGATTTTTATTATTGCTGATGGACACACATATCTCCGGGAAACAGGCCATGTTACCTAAAATTCCCACACATATTTCCTGCAAAAGCAAATTTCACAGGTCACAATGGCGCTTAATCAAAAGACATAAAATAACAACTTGAGAGAAAAAAAAATTTAACTGAGCTAAACTTGGGTGAGGAAAAAAAAGGAACTAAGTATAGAAAAGTAAATCACTTGGAACCCTAATTGTGAAAATGATGTAAGCAGGTAGATTAGCCTCCCACATCATGGCAATGAAATTCCTGGGAAGGAATAAAGTCACTAGTCCTAAGTCTGACCCAGATATGGATACGATACAGAAAGCAAGATCTGATAAGGCCATCACCAGCAGTAGACCCTGACAGTTGGACCTTTCCCTACAGAAAGGGCCTGAAAAAATCCTTGAGAACCTTCAGTGTCTTTCTTTAATCTGATTAACCCCCCAGATAACCCCAGACCAGAGAAAGCTGGAACCACCCTCCAAACAAAGACCTAGCAGGAGCAAAGATTTAAAAAAAAAAAAAGGGCATTTCAAAGAAGACCCACTCCCAATCTACCCCCTTGGCAACAACCCTAGCAACGGACTTTTATAAAGCCCCAGAGGGAGTGGATTGATTGGAGAAACCCTACAAACGCCACTTTGAACAAAGAAAGGGCACGCAGGTGTTGCTTATGCCCACGTGAATGAGCACATGTGGCGCCTGAGGACATGTGTCCCTGGCGTCTCCCTTCTTGAGATGTCTACTTTCATGCTTTCTTATCTAATGCTGGGATGTGTGTAGGGGCTCTCTCCGTCTCTGGAGAAGCTGGCTTTTTCTCTTTTGTGTGTATTACTCTCTCTCACTTTCTCTCCCTCCTTCACCTTCCTAAAACTCTCCAAATAAAATCTTTCATTTCACTGCTCATCTCCTCCTGAAATTCCTTTCTGCGAGGTAAGACCCTGACCTAGGTAAGGCCTAAGGCTGACTTTCCTTTCCTGCAAAGAGCAATTCCTTGCTCCAACCTGAGTTGGTGGCTCCTTGAGAGATTGGATGGTGGAGATCAACTCCTGTGCTGCTAAGACCAAGAGGACCTCAGGTGTAGCTTGATAGCCACCTGGAGGGGCTAGTGGGGTGGGGAGGGGGTAGTGGGGGAGAGGAACGACTCATTGCAGACTTAATCAGTCCTTGATCAGTCTTCTCATGCGTGGCAGAGGCAGATCAGGAGAAAGTGACCATCTTTCTCCTCTCTGCCTGACATAAGCCACCTGTGGGGGCCACCTACTTCACTATAACAGACTCTCACTCACTCACTCACTCACTCTCTCTCTTCCCACCCTCCCCCACGTCCCCCCTTCCTCCTTTATTATACCCGTTTAGGCACCATGACTAGGAGTAAAGGTACTGAGAGGGTATCATGTACATCCCTCTACCTCCTTTCAGCACTCAGTTCTTGTCCATTTCCAACTATCACTGCCATCATGGCCTCTTCTCTGTCCTAGCTGCACTCCCCGCCAATCCACTTGTGGCACGCCTCCAACCATGAACCAGTCCTCCTTGGCCCCTCATCCTCAAGTTCCCAGAAATAGAAGCAATGGAGTTCAACTGATTATACTGAAGTCAGACAGGTTCATCTCCCAGCTTCATTCTTTCCCAGGTGTGCACCCACCTACAAATTTCTTCACTGGAGATTTAGTTCTTTGATTTTATAGAGGAGAAATAAATGTCTATAAATAAATCAAAAACTCGGACAATACCAGGAGTTCATCACTAGAACCTCCTAACAGGTATCTAGGGGTCACCTACATCACACACCGCACATGGCCACCAATACAGCACTAAAGCACAGCCACTGGGCAGAACAAGAAGATTGGATGAAAGGAAGAAGGCTGCTGAGGGGTGGTCACCATCAGCAGTGGCCACTGTGGAAGAAAGCTGTGCTTTAAGGAGTCGATGCAAATGCTGGAGTGCATTTCTGAGATGAGGAACAGACAGGTCTGGTTAAAAATAAGGAGCAACTGGAGGTATTAGGTCTTATGCTGGAAGACAGTTTAGATTCAGATTATGAGAAGTCTTTTTATTTTTTGTGCCATACCCAGCAATGCTCAGGGATTACTCCTGGCTCTGTACTCAGGAATCACTTCTGGAGGTACTCAGGAAACCTCATGGGATGCTGGGATAGAACCCATGTCAGCCACATGCAAGGCAAACACTCTCCCGCTGTACTATCGCTCCGGACCCAGATTATGAGAAATCTTTAGCAACAGGCTGAATTTACAACGAAGGCTTTTAAGTAACAGACAACAGAATGGGGAGCCTTTTCCTGTTCTGCATACATCAACCACAGAGTTGGCTATGCCATTCTGGTTTCCAATGAGTGTCGTCTCCTGCTTCATCCCAAGTCTATACTTCTATGACTTTGACATGTCAAACCGCCCTTTATCTGAAACCGTGCAAGAGGCATTTAGGGACTGGGTTAAAGCCAGTAAGATGATGACAGAAAAAAATAAAAGACTCTCCTTCCTGCAATGTTACTACTGCAAAGAACAGGAAAGGACCTACTTACTCTTAACCGAGGACACCTGGATTTGGCCAGTACGCCCATAAATATGTCAGGGGCATTAAATTCTTGGAGAAACAGAGCGACATCCTGAAAATAAAAATCATTATTAACATGAATGCTGAATAGTCCCTCTCCCCTTTCGGGCCTTACCCAGCTGTGCTCTGAGCTTTCTCCTGGCTCTGGACTCAGGGTTCACTGTCAGCAAGCTCAGGGGACCATGTGCCGTGCTGGAGATTAAATCTGGGTCAGCCACCTGAACATGCTTTATCCACTGTAGTATTACTGTCCCCTTTAAACTCTGCAGCCTAAGCAGCCATATGAATTTTATTTCCAGGGCCAGAGAGCTAGCTCACAGGGCTGAGGCACATACTTTGTATGTGGGAGGCATGGGTTGGCGCCCCGGCACAGCATGGTTACAGAATACCACCAGGGGCAACCCCTGAAAGTAGCCCCTGAGCACTGTGGAGTGAGCTAGCCACACACAGCCCTAGGCCCCAGGGGAGAAAAATTAATTCCATATATACCTCCCCTCCTCCCCTTTTTTGTAGCTACTCCCAATAATACTCAGGACCTACTCCTGGCTCTGCCGCAAGGATCACTTTTGGCAGGGCACAGGGGCCCACACTGAGTGCCAGGGAATGCTGGGGATTGAGACCAGATTGGTGATGTGCAAGGCAAGTAGCCTACCCGCTGTACTCTCTCTCCAGCCTCTCGATCTCCTTTTTTGAGACCAAATATTTAAAAAAAAAAATGTAAATGGGACAAGTAATTGTGTCATAGACAAAAAGACAAAAGCAGTATTAGAGCTTTTGGAATGGTCCCAGGCAATGAAACAGTTCCAGAAGTAAATCTAAACTTGTCATATTCCAAAGAATTGTCCTCTCCTTACTGGCTTGGTTATCTACCTTAGGGATCTACTACTAAAAATTCTTTTCAATTCAACTCAAACACATTTGCTGTTTCCCAGGAATTATGCCAGAAACTGGAATAAAATAGCTGAGGAAAAAGGGTAAAACATGGCATTCCTGTCTTCTCAGATGGTGTCTTCACCACCCACCAGTCTGCAGGTGTCAAAAGGTTGAAAGCCAAAGTCTACCACCTTGGCTATCAACATGGCCATTAGTGATGGCCAGGAATGCAGACAGCCCGTCTGCAGGTATGAAGAGGCAGGAGAACGCTATTCTACAAATTAAAGCAGGAGGAGGAAATAAGGGGAACTCCTACTAGGTTGTACCCCAAATCAGAATCTGTGGTTTCTTTCCTTGGTTTTGAGGCCGATCTTGGCAGTGCTCAGGGTTTACTGCTGTGTGCTCAAGGATCAGTCCCAACAGTGCTCAGGTGCTGAGGATCAAAGCTGGGTCTGCAGCGAAAATGGCAAGTGCCCCACCCACTGTACTATCTCTCCAGGCCCAGAGACTGTGTTTCCAAATTCCTCAACAGAAAAAAATCCGAAAACCACATAAGTGTGCCAGTTGCCAAGCTCCTTTCTAGAGGTGGCCCATACAGCTGTACCTCTACTCCAGATAACTGGCGATGGAGATTTGAGTTAAATCTTAAATAAAATTAAATAAACTTCCCTAATCTTAAATAAAATTAAGTTCTGGCTATCTGTTGCTTCAGATTTTCACCAAGCTTGCTTGAGGTATATTAGTGATAGTTTGGCGTAAAAGTTAAAATGATAATGCACTCAAGGAACCCTAGAAGGGACTTCAAAGAGAGGAGATGCAGAAGGCACTCAGGCAAGGTCAGCTGCAGGAGTGCTAGAAGAGGCATGTGCTGGGTCCAGAGAGAGAGAGAGCACAGCAAGAAGGGCCCTTCCTCGCACACAGCAGACACGGGATGTACCACATATGGTCCCCTGCACCTTCCCAGGGATGATCCCTGAGTGCAGGGCCAGGAGTAAGCTGTGAGCACCATCGGGTGGGGCTCCAAACCAAAACCAAAACCAAACCAAACAAAGCATGAGCTAGATGCCAAACAACTGGTGCACCTTTAGATTTACCAGAGAAGCATTTCTGAAGAGGTGATATTAAGAAAGACTTAAATCAAGTCTTAGGACAGAGAGAAACAATCACCGGATAACACTGTGTTATACAACAGTTTACAAGAGAGCTCATTAAGAGTTTTTAAATGCCATTTCTAGAGGCCATAGCAATAGTACAGCAGATAGGGCATTTGCCTTGCATGCGGCTGAATGAAGTTCAATCCCTGGCATCCCACATGGTTCCCCAAAGCACCGCCAGAAGTAATTCCTGAGGGCAGAGAAAGGAGCGTCCCCTGAGCATCGCTGGGTGTAACCCAAAAATAAATAAATAAATAAATAAATAAATACCATTTCTAATAGCATCCAAGAATATAAAAGAACCTAACATAAGAATATAAAATAGAGGGGCTGGAGCAATAGCACAGCGGGCAGGGCGTTTGCCTTGCACGCAGCCAACCCAGGTTCGATTCCCAGCATCCCATATGGTCCCCCGAGCACTGCCAGGAGAGATTCCTACCAGGAATAACTCCTGTGCATCGCCAAGTGTGACCCAAAAAGCAAAAAAATAAAAAAAAGGTCAGAGAGGTGGCTCAAATGGTAGGATACAGGCTTTGCTGTGCAATTTCCGAGGGTTCTCCCTGGCACCTCTGGGAATGGCCCGAGGCTGCCAAGCACCTCTAGGGGTGGCAAACAAAATAACAAAATAGGAAATAGGATCCAAGAGACAATAGAAGGGTTAAGGAGCTTGTCTTGCTAGCAAGCCACCAGCCCCTACTCAATGCCTCGAACAGCTCCTGAGCACTGTTGCGTATGGCTCAATCCCCACCCCCACAAAACAATCACTGTTACTCCCGTTGTTCATCGATTTGCTTGTGCGGGCCCAGTAACGTCTCCATTGTGACACTTGTTACTGTGTTTGGCATATCGAATACGTCACGGGTAGTTTGCCAGGCTTTGCCGTGCGGGTGAGATACTCTCGGTAGCTTGCCAGGATCTCCGAGAGGGGTGGAGGAATTGAAGCTGGGTCGTCCAGGTTGGCCACGTAAAAATAAAATAACAATGTTTAAAAACAAAAATTCACCACCTCTGGGGGCCAGAACAATAGTACAGAAGGTAGAGCATTTGCCTTGCACATGGTTGACTCTGGTTTGATCCCGGCATCCCATATGGTCTCCTGAGCACTTCCAGGAGGAACTCCTGAGTATAGAGCCAGAAATAACCCGAGCAGGTGTGACAAAAAAAAAAAAACAAAAAAAAACCCACCTTTTACCTTACAAGTTTTTTTCAGTTTCAATCCAAACCTTTACCTCATCCATTGACATATCCCATACTCGGCAAATTTCATTCTCCACTTCTTCATCCAGCTCCTTCTGCTGCTCCTCATCATCTGAGGTGGTTTTGGTGTCTTCAGGGGTAACAAGCTTCAGAAACACAAAAGAAAAAAATAAATGAATAAATGAAACAAAACTGCCCATAATAGTCAACTAAATGACCATTTTTCAAAATCACAAAGATAGTAAGCCACAGAGCCACCTCAAAGCTTCTCTTGCAAAGGTCTTGTTTAAAAATATAGTAACTTGGGTCAAGTCACTGATTCAACACAAATGGAGTAAATGCTGTTACTAGGTAGGTGATGTGGTAGATGAAAGCTGGAGAAATAATACAGTGCTCACCTTACATGTGGCCAACCCTGATTTGGTCCCTAGCACCACATATGGTCCTGAGCCCTGCCAGGAGTGAATCCTGCCGTGAACACTGTTATTCGAGTCCCCAAACAAAACAAACAAACAAACAGAAAAAGTAATATGAAATTCCTTGCTCTCAAGCAATTAGGGATGAGTAAAGAAAAACTGATTAAGCTGCTCAACACAACAGAGGAAGCTAATTCATTCGAATTGCATTGCGGGCAAAGAGTGAAGGACTAATAATCTAAAAGTCTTCGGGGCCAGAGGATAGCACAGTGGGTAGGGTGTTTGCCTTGCACGCAGTCAACCTGAGTTCTATCCCCAGCATCCCACATAGTCCTCTGAGTACTGCTGGGAGTGATTCCTGAGTGCAAAGCCAGGAGTAACCCCTAAGCATTGTTGGGTGTGACCCAAAAAGGAAAAAAAATAGTAATAATAAAAATAAAAGTCTTGGAGAAGTTCAGGAACTCTTCTCTCGGATGACATGTAAGCTAAGGAGTGTGTCAGATGAAGGAAAGATTCCAGAACATGGGATAAGAGTTCACAATGGGCCTAGTGCATTTCAGGAATGAGGAGCAAAGGAAAATGCAAAGGACTCTTGGATTCTGAAATCCAAACTAAGAAATTGTATTTTCTCCTGTAGGGAAAGGAAACTACAAGAAGTTCCCAAGGACACCTTTTATTTCTTCTTCTTCTTTTTTTTTTTTTTTAAATCTTAGGGAACTATTCTGGCAGCTATGTAGATGATAGGCTGACTGGGGCAGAGACTGAAAATTGGGAAATCAATCAGAAACATGGGGACGTTGCAATGTATTGTGTCTCTTGTGTGCCAGGGGTAAGCGCCCCAGGGATAGCGGTAGGGCATTTGCAGCTGGCCCTGCCAAGCTGGGTTGATTCCTCCGCTCCACACGGCAAAGCTACCCGGTCGTACTGGATATGCCAAACACAGTAACAACAAGTCTCACAATGGAGACATTACTGGATCCGCTCTAGCAAATCAATGAACAACAGGAGGACAGTGCTAATAACCCTACACATAGTCATAGTTCCTGTGCCCCTACAGGCCCAGAACACATACACACACACACACACACACACACTTTACGGAAATTATGAAAGAAATCTAGGCTCCAAGCAACAGTTGAATGACCTGCCTCAAAAGCCACACACTGCATGATTCCAAAATAATCTCTTCCACTACAACAAAAGTCCAGGGCAAGGAAATGTAATGTAGTAATGGGGGGGGGGGGGGGGGGAGTAGAGGGAAGGACGATTAGAACCAGCCTTCACCCCGAAGTTATAGGGAGGAGAAGATCAAAGCAGGAAAGAAATCAAGGTGGCAAGGAAGAAGAGAAAAGGAAGTAAGTGGTGGGGGAACAGAAATTGGGACTCTCAGATAGACCCAGGATGGGGATCAGTGTCTAGCTCGCGATATATCCAAAGCACAGACTCAAAAACACTGAAAGCATGCGATCTAAGCTGCAACCACAGAACTTTGCAAGGCACAAAGGTGTGACGTGTGGGGTGGGGGTCGGGAGGGAGGGAGCAGAGGGACACTAGAGGAGAGAAGTTGACAGGGTGCCAGCTCGAACGTTCTACGGCGAAACCCCAGCTACCGATCACTTCGTACAGAAGAGTCCTTTAGCTCAATTTCATGAACATTCTTCCCGGTACGGGGCACACTCGGTCGCGCGCTGGGGAAAGGCAGCGGGAAGCGCGCGCGCAGCCCCCGGCCCCGTTCCACGCACGGGAGCAATGTGCGAAAGCAGCGTGGGGGGCGGGCCGGGATGCACCTGGATGAGTCCGCTGAGCACGCCGAAGAGCCAGTGCTTGCTGTACACCGTGCCCCCTATGCAGTCCCCCGAGGCCTCGTCCTCCTCGCGACTGGGCGGCGGCGGTGACGGGTTTCGGTCCATGCTTTGCCGCCACGGCCGCGCCGGAAGCCGCCGGAGCAGGCGAGACAGGCCGGAGGTGGCAGAGGGGCCGGGGCTGGCAGCTCCCGCCACAGCGCCCCCTACCTCCAGGAGCCGTGTGTGGGGGGCTTTAGCAGCGCGCTGTGTCTACTACTGGCCTTGACCCTAGGACCCAGGCCATGGGAACGATTTTTTTTCTTTTCTTTTTTTTTTTTTCCTGCAGGATATTTTCTCTCTATTTTTTTAAAAAATTAAATTTGTTTGACTTTGTTTTCAGAGATTTGTTCCCAATAATTGTTTCCATTCAATATTTCAACACCAATCCCACCACCATGACACCTTCCCACCACCTTGAATTCCGATTTTCACCCCACCACCACGCAAGCGTGCCTCTAGGCAGATGCTAAATTATTTATTCTGTATTGCTTGTTATGAAGAGTATGAGATGTCGCTCCTGGAATTCTAAAATTGTTAAATGTTTGGGGCCCGGAGGCATCTCGGTGATGTGCTGCTCTCTTCCAAGATTCATTTGTGAGTCCAAGATTCATTTGTGCGTCTCTGAATCATGGTCATTGATGTGCTGGCTGAAATGCCCTGATTTTAATTCTTTTGAGGCTTCTTTATAGATCTCTCTAAAGCCAGGCCAATAAATTTAGCTTGTTTAGCTGAGCCAGAGGTGGTTTGTGGACCTGACTCACACATATCAAACTTTTGGCTGTTTAATTTTTTGGTAAACTTGGTCCCAAGTTGTTGGGGTCTGGAAAAAGGCACAGCGGCAATATTGGGATGACAGGAAAGTTGAAGGTACCATCAGGCTATTGATGTACTCGCCCTACAGGAACAGGTTGGCCTGCTGGTGGCATGATACCCCAATTTTTTTTTAAATTTTTCAACTGAATCACCATGAGCTATAGTTACAAAGCTTTCATGATTGATACAATGTTCCAACACCCATCCCTCCACCAGTGTACATTTCCTTCACCAATGTCTCTAGTACCTGCCAGCCCCTCCCCCACACACTAGCAACCAACACTCCCCCCCCCCACCCACCCATTCAAGGTAGGCAGTTTCCTTCTTACTTTGTTTCTCTCTACTTTGGGACATTATGGTTTGCAATACGAATACTGAGAGGCCATCATGTTTGGTCCTTAGTCTACTTTCAGCACACATGTCACATCCTCTGCACCCTGCTTATTTACAAGCTCTTAGGAAAAAAATGTATCTTTTCTGAGCTCTCTTCGATCCTCTCTATATCTGACAATGACCCTGGAAGACTATTTTCTATAAGAAAAATAGAAATGTTAATTCTCTTTATTTACCCATGGTTATTTGGAAACTGGAGTCACAATACAGAGGGTAAGGCACTTGTGTTACACACTGCCGACCCTGATTCTATTCCTGGACCGCTATAAAGGTCCCCTGAGACTAGTCAGGAGTGATTCCTGAGCACTAAGCAAGAACTGAGACCTGAGCACAGCCGGATGCCCCAATATCCGCAAATCACTTTTTTAATTTGGCAATTAGAATTTTCTGGGATGCTTATGGATCATCCCTCTAGTATAAAATAGGCTCACGTCCTCAGGAAAATGGCCTCAACTATTCCCAGACACTGTCACTGTCACTGTCACTGTCCTCCCGTTGTTCATCGATTTGCTCGAGCGGGCCCAGTAGCGTCTCCATTGGAGACTTTTGTTGTTACTGTGTTTGGCATATCGAATACATCACGGGTAGCTTGCCAGGCTCTGCCGTGCGGGCGAGATACTCTCGGTAGCTTGCCGGGCTCTCCGAGAGGGGCAGAGGAATCGAACTCGGGTCGGCCATGTTGGCTGCGTGCAAGGCAAACGCCCTACCACTGTGCTATCGCTCCAGCCCTATTCCCAGACACCAGCAACAAATTGGATTTCAAAAACGTTTATTAAACAATTTTTGCTCTCTTCATCAAGTATCAAGTCCTAGAGATTTAGTATTCAATGTAGATTCAATATTCCAATTTAGTTCAGCAGCTGTCCTGCCCTGCTGAAGCTCAAAACCGGGCCTCCTGAGAGCACATGAAGATAAAACTCAGTACTTGCTAGGCAGGCCTCTAGGCCGGAAGTAATTGGGGTCTTTGCCACTCCGGCCCCATTCATTGGCAAATTGGTCAGCCCTGGAGTCTTCCCGTCCATGACCGCTGTTTCCATACTTTAAAAAGTCCGTAATTCTCTGAGAATTCTCTCTGGCATCACTGGAACAGAGGGAAGGAGAAAAAGATAAACCACAGGCAGAAGAGCAATAATCCCGCCTTCGAATCTCTCTTCTTTTCCCAAGGGAGCTAAAAATAGAGAAGCTATAAAATTGACCCTGCCTGGGCATAGCCCAGCTCAGCCCATACTGACCCCTGTGTGCTGGGAGGACAGCCCCTGAACTATGGTTGGGGACACACCCCCTCTGCTAGCCTTATTCTGACTCTCTCAGCCACTCCCATCCCATTGTGGGCACAGAGAAGAGTGGCAGAGGGGGAAGACCACTCCCTCCACCGACTCTCTGATGATCACAGTTAGAATTTTCTGGCCCTTCTCACCCACCCCTGCACCCCAGAAGGCCCCTTACCTGATCACTTTGGCCGCCCAGACACCACCAGGGCCCCTTTGTGCAGCATCATAGTTCCCCCGGGCATGGAAGTATTTGTCTGAATTTTTGTAGTTGGCCTCTAGCATGTCACTGTAGGCTCTCCACATGTCTCTGGCCCCTGGAAAGAAAAGAAAGTGATGAAATGCAGGCGATCACGTTGTTGAGAAATAAATTTAAAATGCTCCTGTCCCATATTTCAAGAGGTTGGGACAATGGTACTGGAAAGCAGATGGGCTTTGAAATGAAGGTTCCCTTTTCCCCTCCTCCGGTTAACATTAAGATAAAACTCAGTTCAAGACTGATTCTGTGTGTTCCCCTCTGACTTCTGTTGCTGCTTTGACGATGGCTGTGTGTTGTGTATACACCCTAACCCTTGGACTATCTCCCAGGCTTTAGCTCTTTGTGCCTCATTTCTCTGTAGAGAGATGCTACATCGAAGGAACAAAAGATTAGAATATGAAGATAAAAGATTAGAACATAAAGATAAAATTTTAGTATTTGAAAACTACTAAATAGCTCATTTGTATTTGAAAACTTTAAAATAACTTCGTCTCATTAAAAATTCCATTATTTTGACTGTACTAATGAGGCTGGGGCCAGAGAGTTGGGAGAGACACTTGCCCTGCACGCAGCTGACCTGGTTTGATCGCCAGTACCACAGAGGGTCCCCCAAGTTCCACCAGGACTGAGCATAGAGCCGGGAGGAAGCCCTGAGCACAGTCAGGTGTGACCCCACCCCATCACCAAAAACTTTTACAAAGAGCTAAGAATTGGAAACACAACTCCCAGTTTTGACAGTCACTTCAGAGTGGCATCAAAATGCTTAGCTCGAACGTCCATTAGGGGGCAGTAGGGACCTTAACTTGTATTATTTGAAGGAAAAAGCATCTCTGAATTCCAATTCCAATTCCTCACTCCTATTAAAAGCTGGGGAACCAACTTTATGTGCCCTGGGGCCTAGGGGTACTCACAGAAGAGGGAAAAGCCTGGCAAAATGCTGTGATAAAATCCTTACTCAGGGCTGGAGTGATAGTACAACGGGGAGGGCACTGACCTTGCTTGTGGCCAACCTGGTTAGATTCCAAGTATCCCATATGATTCTCCAAGGACCACAGAATTTCTCAGAGCACCTCCAGGAGTCACCCCTGAGTACCTCCAGGTGTGGACCCCCAAACCAAACAATACTATGTTTCACTAATAAAATTTTTTTTAAAAATCCCTACTAAAGGGAGTAAAGCCATAGTGCAGCAGGTAAGGTGTTTGCCTTGGATGCAGCAGACCCTGGTTCGATTCCCAGCATCCCATATGCCCCCCCGCCCAGTACTGCCAGGATTAATTCCTGAGTGCAGAGCCAGGAGTAACTACTGAGTATCGCTGGGTGTGAACTCCCCCACTCCCCCTCCAAAAATCCCTACTCAGTGTCTATCCACTAAGAGACCCTGTCCTCTGCTCAGGTAATTACAGGAGACTACCCGGATACAGACCCTGACCCCCACTACTCTTGGGGCCTTACCTTGACCAGCTTCCCTCATGAATGAGAACCAACTTTGGCTGCTGACGCACAGAAACAAGGAGCAGAAAACAACGGCCGTGGAAAGTTTCATCTTGCTGCAGGTACACAAGTAACAGTGAGGCAAATCAGGATTTTGCTCTGTAATATTGAACCAGGCTCACATTCCAAAAAGAAATTCTAATGAAATGCATAGATTGGCATGTAGAGAGATGAGAGATGTGGAGAGATACATCCTGATAATCTAAGATACATCTTAGAAGATTGATTCTCCATTTCTACTTGTGTCATCAGAATCCCAGTGCTTTTCTAGGATTTACTAGAGGCTTACTAGGAGCAATTACAATGGGCTTTAAGTGTAAACCATTGTCCGTTCCCAGCATCCCTAATCAGCTCTGAGATCTAACTGCACAGCATGTTTCCATGGAAGCATTGGAGGATTCTACCTCTGAAATACAACCTGAGTTTAAAATTCCATCAATATTTATGGTATGTCTCCTCTAGCCACCACTGACTACACATAGAGGCACAAACACCATAATTGCTAAGAATTTCCTAGACTGAAAAGTATTCATGGGGCTGGGGAGTTAACTCAAAGGGTTGGAGCATTCACTTTGCTCCAGCAGGTACTCCAGCATTTGGAACTTGAGCTGAGGGTAGGGGTCGTCTATACACTGTCAGAGTGACGCTGGTGACCCTAGTACAATTTCTGGGGCAGAATCACAGAGCACTGGGAGCAATCATCAAAAGCCTGAATAGTGCTGGGAATGTCCAGCAACAACAATGACAATGAGTAGCCCATCTGAGGAGACCCAATGGCCAGAACAGTTCAGTCAGAAAGGATGCAGCCCAAGAATGGTGATGTAGAAGAGGATTCTCCCAAAGAAGGAAACTTAGAATGCTCTAGAAACTCACCCTTATCTATTCCTTCCTGCTGAATCTCCTTGTGCAGCCCAGCAGTCTGTGCTATCTGCTAGGGAAGGTGTCTCTGCTATATATACAGACAGCTTGATCACAGAGCACATGGAAAGAGAGGGTTGAAGCAAAACAGTGCATTGGGGGAAATCCCTTGGGTCCAGAACACACTCATACCCCGATTGCACAATCTGGTAGATGTCCAGTGTGTATAGAGATGGAGTTCCACTGCCAATTCCTCAGTTCTTGTAAATCTGCTCGAGTCTTTCAGGAAAGGTCTGTGCAGGTCATCGCTGGGAGCTTTTGCAGGTAGGCTTTTGGGCAGAATGGTTTGACAGGGCTCTGTAAGCAATGAGCTCATGTGCAAACGAGACCTGCTCTCACGGGGGTAGAACTGGCTTTTCTTTCTCGTAATGGGGAGTATCAAAAGGTAACTCAGGCAAATTCAGAAATGTGAAAGAATTACCTTAGTACCACAATTTGAAAGATAAGCTGAGTGGTGCTTCTTTCCTGCTGTCTCCAGCTGAGGACAGAGAAACTCCCAGTATTACAGATCCTAGAGAAGAGGTCATACAAACAGGATTGATTTCAGAAGCCCCAACGACAGAGGAAGAGGTGGCAGTGAGGTTCTTTAGAATCAACCCCATTCTCATCTGATTCATTTGTCTGGTTCCCTAGAGAGGCTCAGAGAAGGGGGAAGAAAGGAGGAACTAGGGTGTCAGTCTTGTCAGCATTCAGTATTTTTGGAGATTGGTGACTTCTTTATACAGAGCTGGGGTGTCAAAGAAACAAAAATGTCTTTTGATTCCCTACTTGGTTGCATGCTGAACTGTGAAAACTCTCCTGTTCTTTCTAGCAAAGCCTAGGGGAGTTAAGAAGGGAATTCCTGAAAGACTTGGTATGTGGAAGATACAGAAAATGTTCTGGTCTTTATTCTCATGCAGGATTTTTTTTAATTTAGGGGAAGGGATTGAATTACACCTGACAGTTCTCAAGGCTTACTCCTGCCTCTTTGTTCAGGGATAACTCTTAGCAGCACTGGGGGGGAATCATATGGGGTGCTGGATTCCATAACCTAGGTTGACTCCATTCAAGACTATAGTCCTATCCACTGTACCACGTCTCCTGCCTCCCTGCTATAATTTTATCCACGACGAGGGAGGTTTTGTCAACAGGGAGCTTGTAAGTTGAAGGTGATGTAGTGTATTTATTTATTGTTTTAAATTTTATTGAGTCACAGTGAGATAGTTACAAGTTTTCATTTTTGGGTTACAATCACACAATGATCAAACACCCATCCCTCCACCAGTGCACATTCCCCACCACCAATATCCCTGGTATACCCTCCCTTTCCCACCCTCCCCCTGTCTTCATGGCAGGCATTATTCCCCATAATCTTTCTCTACGTTTGGTCATTATGGTTTGCAATACAGACACCGAGAGGTCATCATGTTTGTTCCATTATCTACATTCTGCACACATCTCCCATCCTGACCAATTCCTCCAGCCATCGTTTTCTTAGTGATCCCTTTTCTATTCCATCTGCCTTCTCCCCTTTGCTCAAGAGGCAGGCTTCCAGCTATGGAGCAATCTACCTGTCCCATGTATCTACTATCCTTAGGTGTCAGCCTCATGTTATGTTGTTTTATACTCCATAAATGAGTGCAGTCCTTCTATGTCTGTCCCTCTCTTTCTGACTCATTTCACTTAGCATGATACTCTCCGTGTCTATCCATTTATAAGCAAAGTTCATGACTTCATCTCTCCTGACAGCTGCATAGTATTTCACTCTGTAAATGTACCAAAGTTTCTTTAACCAGTCATCTGTTCTAGGGCACTCGGGTTGTTTCCAGATTTTGGCTATTATGAACAGTGCTGCAATTAACATATATGTACAGATGTCATATCCACTGTACTTTTTTGCATCCTTGGGATATATTTCGAGAAGTGGCATTGCGAGGTCATATGGAAGCTCAATTTCTAGTTTTTGAAGGACTGTCCATATTGTTTTCCAGAAAGGCTGGACTAGTGGACATTCCCACCAACAGTGAAAGAGTTTCCCTTTTTCCCCACATCCACACCAGCACTGGTTGCTTTTGTTCTTTTGAATGTGTGCCAGTCTCCATGGTGTCAGATGATATCTCATTTTTGTTTTGATTTGCATCTCTCTGATGGCTAGCCATGTGGAGCATTTTTTCATGTGCCTTTGGCCATTTGCATTTCTTTTTTGAGGAAACTTCTGTTCATTTTTTCTCCCCACTTTTTGATGGGGTTGGAGGTTTTTTCTTGTACAATTCTACTAAAGTCTTGTATATCCTGGATAATAATCCCTTATCAGATGGGTATTGGGTAAATATTCTTTCCCATTTTGTGGGCTCTTTCTGTATTTTTGGTCACTCTTTCTTTTGAAGTGCAGAAGCTTCTTAGTTTGATGTAGTCCCATTTGTTTATGTTTGCTTCCACTTGCATGGTTAGTGCTGTTTTATCCTTAAAGATGCTTTTAGCTTCAATATCGTGGCGAGTTCTGCCTACATTTTCCACTATGTACCTTGTGGATTTATGTCTGATATTGAGGTCTTTAATCCACTTTTGTGCCTGGCATTAGACAGGGGTCAGAGTTCATTTTTTTGCAGGTAGCTATCCAGTTTTCCCAGCACAACTTGTTGAAGAGGCTTTCCTTGTTCCACTTCACATTTCTTGCTCCTTTGTCAAAGATTAAGTGGTCATATATTTGGGTCTGTGACAGAATATTCAACTCTGTTCCATTGGTCTACAGGTCAGTTTCAAGACCAGTATCATGCTGTCTTAATTACTACTGCTTTGTTTGAAGTTGGGGAGGGTGATGCCACCTATTTTCTTTTTTCCAAGAATTGCTTTAGCTATTCGTGGGGGTTTATTGTTCCATATGAATTTCAGGAGTGGTTTGTCTATTTCTTTGAAAAATGTCATCGGTATCCTGATAGGGACCACATTGAATTTGTATAGTGCTTTGGATAATATTGCCATTTTGAGATTGTTTATCCTACCTATCCATGAGAATGCACTGTCTTTAAATAATCAAAAAAGACTCACATACTAAGGCTAGATAAGTAAGTAGAAAAACCCCAATTAAAAGCATATTTGGGGACTTAATCTACCTTCTTGCTTTCTGTTGGGGTTTTCTTGCTTTGTCTGGTATGCTTTGGGGTCACCCTCAGATATGATCAGTGCTTACTTGTGACTTTGCACTTAGAGATCATTCTTGGCTGTGCTGGGAATCAAACCCAGGTTGGTTGCATGCAAGGAAAGCCCCTTACTTGCTGTACTATCTCTATGGCTCCCCTATGTATTATTTATCATAGCACTTACTTAGAGGGGGGAAAAGCCCTCTGAGAATTTTCTTTTTATCATTTTTTCAAGTCGACTTTACAACATAGTATAGTAGAGGATTCTCAGAAGTTATTTTCATTTAGTTCTTTGAATATATTATTCTATTCTTGGTTACAGTTTCACTTGAGAAATCCAGTATGAGTCTTATGCATTGCTTTTTTTTTCTAAATATGTGAGACTTTGCTTCTCTTGCATTGCTTTAAGGAGTCTCTCATTCTTGCCATTTTGTTCTTCTGTTTGGGAATCAATGGGCCTCCTGGATCAGTGTAAAGGTCTTCCCTCACACATTGGATAAAATTTAGACTACATTTTTTCCACCAAGAATTCTTCCTCTCTTGAGCCTAGAACAATAGAATAGTGGGTGGTGCATTTGGTTTGCACACAGCTGACCTGAGTTCAATCCCTGGATTGAAACAATGATGAGTTTTTTCCTCTTATAGTTGTCCCATAGATCACTTAAGCTCTGTTCATTTTGAAGGGGAGGTTGGTTTGACCACACCTGAAGGTGCTCAGGGCTTACTGCTGGCCCTGTGTTCAGGAATCAGTCCTGGTGGTGATCAGAGGACCATATGAGATGCCGGGGTTCTAACTGGAGTCAGCCACAAACAAGGCACAAAACTTAATCCCTGTAACTTTACAGCTCATCTCTTCGTTGAAACTCTATTTTTATTTTCACTCATATTTATTGATGCTATTGTTTATCTTTTCCTGGATGCCACTGATTTGAGCTTTGACTCCTTCCATTCTGCTGTTGAGTCTCTTTTATCTGTATCTTTTTAAAGGTCAGTTACTATTGGGGCTGGAGCGATAGCACTATGGGTAGGGCATTTCCCTTACTCGTGGCCGACCCGGGTTCAATTCCCAGCATCCCATATGGTCCCCTGAGCACTGCCAGGAGTAATCCTTGAGTCCAGAGACAGGAGTAACCCCTGTGCATTGCCAGGTATGACCCAGTAACCAAAAAAAAAAAAATAGTGGTCAGTTACTGTGGATTTCTTTTCTGTTTGAATGACTGCTCTCCTTTTTCTTGGGAGGGTGTTTCGCCTACACTCAGTGGTGCTCATGGCTACTCTCAATTGTGTACTCAGGACTTGCACCTGGAGGTGCTCAAGAGAAGGAGCCAGTGGCAGGGACCAAACAAGGTACAGCTACATGCAAGACAGCCCCTCAACTCCTCTACTACCCCAACCTTTTCATTTTTCTTTTTCTATCAAACTATCTTTGAACTTGTTTTATTCTCTCTTCCTCTGATTTTATTGCACTGAACAGTAAGAGAATTCTTCTTTTGAAATCTTCCTCGATGGGATGAATCTCACTGGAGAGAGGAATGGTAGGAAAGCTCAGGTGTGCAGGAACCCGTGACTGAGATCCAAGCCTGCTGGGATCGGGACTGGGCCTCCTCCCTGCAGGTTCCCAGTTTTCCAGAATCGTGGGAGTCACACCCGCAAACCGCCCCCGGCACCATGTAATCTCATCAACGGCCAAGACCCAGAGTCTATACTAAAGCTCCCTGAAGAGAATAACAAAGAATTTCCTGGACATTATATTCTATCTATAACAAGCAATACAAAACAAATCATCTAGCATTGCCTTTTTGGCAGGTTTGAGTGGTGCTGGGACTGGTGTTGAAATATCGAATGTAACCAAAGTAGAGAGAGAGTCTTGGGGAAATTGTCTGCCACACAGGCAGGGGAAGGGTTGGAATATTGCTTGCCTACACAGGCAGGGGGAGGTGAATATT